ATAAAGTCTTTCATTTACATATTCCCAACTTTCTTCTAATAAGATGTTGCTTCAGAGTCGTAATAATTCTGCATAAACTTAAAATAAGTATTAATTCGTTATCATTCGTGGCATATTTATGAGTAAATTTGTTTCCGATCAATAAAATCAATTAATTAAGCTCAGTAAGTTAATCCCCGCTTTTTGTTCACTCTCTACATCCGATTGCTTTGTTATACCAACATTTTTTTCCTATCTGCGTCGGTGTCTGCGTCGAAAAAAGGAAAAGACTCTGAAATGACGCCACTAAAGTCCGTGCTGCATAGCCGCGGGCTGCATTAACACAATCTTTGTAAATAAGCTTTTATCCGTGCCACGCAGGAGCATATTTCCAACCATTTTAAGCATTTCTGTACCACCCAGTTTTCCAGCTTTCTCTGTTCTTCGCAGACGTATTGTCCAAGCCGAGTCGAAAGGGGCTTGCTTTCTCTTTATCTCTGTGCGCTGAGGCTTTTGTTTGGGCAACAACAACCGAAACAGACGCCGCGGAGCCGCAGCGGTGCAGGGTTCAGTTGTGCCACGGGGCGTATGCGTAATGTTTCCACTTTTTGTCCATACATACACACAGACATACATATGTATGCCTGCCAGTGTGTATTTGTGTTGAAGTCTTTTGTGAGCCGACGGTTGTAATTATTGCTACTGCTACCGCTGCCGTCGTCGCTTTTCCTTTTGCCTTTGCTCTACCTTCAGCCATATCGTTCCCACACACATACATGTATACATATATGTATAAATACACATACTTCTGGCCTTTCTTTTCGGCCAGAGCTTGTTCTGGGCTCTCCACACTTCGTGGCCTGGCAACTCCTTGTAACGCTTCTGCGGCGCTTCAGTTTTTCGAGCCCTTTGTCTGCGCTAATTAGCACAGCTTGTGGCCTTTTGACTGAAGAATTGCCTGCTCTGGTACGAATGTGGTCTAAATTTCAGTGCTTTTCATATTTTAAGATATACCTTATAAAAATTGTTACCAACCTTCGCAATATACTGTTAACGCCATAGTTGGTAAAAAGAAGATTATGTATCGTCCTTCAACATGTCACTTTAATAGAGTCTATGAAGGCTGCAGCCCACATTCCTATTAATTTCTAAAAGCCTTCGGCGATACCTTTATCCATTTACATGAAACACATTCATCAGAACGCTGGCGAGCGACTCTATCCCCAAACTGTCAACTCGACATAATTTCAATTCCACAAATTCTAAATCAATTAATGTTAAGCTCTATCCGAAAACTTGGAGTTTTTTGTGCGCCAGAGGGGTTTGTGCGGCGGGGGATGCACTGCCCCAAATTGGAAACAACAAATGTCAGCAGTTTTATGTACTGCAGACCACCGGCAGCAGCACCAACAACAACAGCAGACAAATACAATGTATAAATGATGATGTGGCTGATGATGAATGCACAAGGATGTGCCAGTGCCAGCGTATGGGTGTTGTGTGTGTGTGTGTGTGCTCGAATAAAACGGACATCCCTCCGTGCGTGTGTATTTGTCTATTTGTGTGCATGTGTGACAAAGTGAATACGAAATTTGCATACGTTGGCTTTACGACTGAATATAGGGAAAGAGTTTGCCTTGGCTACCAATTTACGAGCAGATCACCCAAATTGAAGGACTATCCGTCTCACTCCGCCGGACGTGTGTGTTTGTGGGTCTCGTCGCTTGTCATTTCGAATTTCCAAACATTTCTCGCAAAAAATAAACGATTTCAGCTTGAACCACTTGATTGCGGTACTAAATTAAATTATGGCGTTACTGAATACAGAATACATTTTAAATTTATGTAAATTTCGCTGCAAGTTTATGTTCGTGCAAATGTGTTTATAGTATGCAGCATGTTAGAAATCTGCAGAAGTGAATGGGGTTTATTTGGAGGAGAAACCCAGACAAGAGATAATAAAACTAGCATTTAAATTGTATGTTAGTTTTGAAAATATTTTTTCTTTATTTAATAAACATTTATCTTGGATAATTTGCGGGCTTAAATGCACAAATGTTTATTATTATGAGAACTCGATAACTGGATAACTGGATAAAATGATTCAAAACACATTATCGACAGCATTAACTAATAGAAAATAAAGGAGCATGTTTATAAGTTTTGTTTCATCTCATTTTCCTCTCAGCCAACTTTCATAAAAACTCACTTTTATAAACGAGACCCAGGCATCTTTTGGTTCAATGCTTTTTCAGCCATTTCTCGTTAGCCTTCGTTCACTCGATTTCCACCTGAGTGTCTTGAAAAGCAAAGCGTAGCTCATTATGCAGTCTATTTGCAATATGCTTAAGTAACCAGACTCCCAATCCCCAGTTTCCCGGGCATCCAGTTCCAGTTCCACCGCACCGCACCCACCGACCCACCCACAACTTCACAGAGTGCATTGTAGTGCCACTTGGTGGTCCTGGGCTCCTTTTTGCTTCCTGGGCGGCCCGACGCTGATGTTTTGCGAGTGCTGCGGTGAAAATTAAAATTACTTTGGTTACGTCAAATAATGTTGCCTGCGGTGCTGTCCAGGACTCAAAACATAAAGCGATGGCAAAGAAGAACGGGTTGCCCAGAGGGGCGACGCAAAAAGGATGCCAAAGCCACCATCTTCACCGGCAAAAGGCAACAATTTATAGTGGCCACCGAAGAAGGTATAGTGATAAATTTGACATGGCCAGCGCACAGACCCAAAAGGCAGCTGCGAAGAATGTAGTTGTGGAAGGCAGCAAGTTGCATGCTGCATTCCATTCCATTCCATCCCAGCCCTACGTCCTCTTCGTCAATTTTAATTATGCCCAAGACGGAACAATAGCCGCATTCTGGGAATGATATGGTTGGCAAGTACAAAATGGCTGCGTAAAGTACTTTATTATTAACTAGTATTAATTAGTACCTAGATCTATCTATCCTATCTTGCTTAAATTGTTTTACTCTTTGATAAGTCCTTGGTATGTTATATGATAATGTCTATATATAATTTAAAGCCGCGCACCTTGACTTAAAATAAAATAATCCACTTTAATCTTAGCTTAATTCCAAACTACCACGTCAACTCGTATTGCAATAATGCCGGCGCTTACCTCCATTGAAATCAAAGGGAAATTTTTATAACGAGCAGAGTTGCAGAAAGTATACAGCGGATGGGAGAGAGACTACTTGCATGCAATATTTTATGGTAATTTTATGCAATAAACGTTGAAATGTTTGTCATCAATTTTCTTAACTCATATTTCATGTGCAACCGCCCCACAAACTCACCCACTCGCCCCACTTAGCCAACAGAGTCCTGCACTTTCTTCGCGCGGTTGGATGGAATTGAACGGCAGATGAAAGGAGCGGGTAAGCCGCCTGAAAGCTATAATTTCAAACACTTTTTATTTTAGCCGTTGTCTTCGCTAAGCACCCCCTTTCTACCCAATATACCACCTTTTTCATCCAACTCGCCCCCCAGCATCACGTTTTACCTTCCTTTCTATCCAAATGATTTTACGGCAGACGCAAAGTGCATCTCTCTGAAAAACAGGGTACTGATATAATTGGCACACTAGTGGAAAATGATATAAAAAAAAAATGTTTTTATTATTTGCAATCGCGTTGTAGTTCCTCTTTAAAGTTTTCGCTCCATAAATAAGAAGGGTGGTGCTATTGAAATACTTTAAAGAACACCCAGTATGAAGCATCTCTATTCTGGGGTATCTTGTATTGGAGAGTTCGAGTTGTGGAACTATGCACTCACCGTTCTCTGATGCCGGCCAATTTTTATTCGCTCCTCTGGTTTTACCCTCACCCTCACCTAACGTGATTTTCAGCGAATAAAAACGATAAATCTATGGGTAGTGCGATGATGATGATGACTGCGGGAGGTGCGGCTGTGTTTGAGAAGGAAAGCGGTTTCGTTTTCATTCTTTCGCAGATATTTCGCTGCCTTCACTAACGAGGCAGTTAAAACGAATTTGCGCCAATTTCTGAATTGCTTCGAACTGCAGCTAGAAATTGCAACCCATTAAATGCTCATTTCCGTTTGTGCTTTCCATTTCGGGTTAGCATTTTTATTTGTACTTTGTTTTTTCCTCTCATACTGTTTAGCTAAATAAATATGTGTTTTAGTTGTATATTGGAAAAACCAAATTAACACGAAAGAAGCTATCTTCGACAATCCGAAGGTTATATACCCTTGAGGAAATTATATTTAAACCAAAATACCGAAATGAATGTATACCGAAAATGAACACAATCTGATCAAAAACAACGAAACTGTTATTAGTTTTACATTCTTTTTTTAATAGAAGCTATATGATATAGTATTATGTGATATAAATGAATACCTGTGGCAAATTTGTATGCATATAGCTTCAAAAATTATAGCTGAGAGACTTAATTATGTAGGAACGGATGGATATCGACTTGGCTATTGATAAGATCAAGAAAATATATACTTTATACTTTATAGTCGCCCTTTCTTGTTTTCCCTTGTTTTTGATACGAATGCCAGCTGCCGGATAAGCTGGATTATAAAGACGAATCTCGGAATTAATCGGCAAGCACTCTCACAAAAAATTATTCAATTAATTAGTCATTGGTTGTAAATTTCAAAGAACACGGACGTTCTGACTTTACCGACTTTACCCTTAGAGTGCGGATGATTGGAGGTAATGATTATACAAGTTTATGGTTATATATAGTTCCATATAATAGAACCATAGTCTTCTGGGGGATACTTTTATATTTCAAACTGGTAAGAGTTTTACGAATATTTCATATAGATTTGAACATCCATTATAAAGAATACAAAAGGAATACATATGCATGGATAAATAAATAAATTTGAAATATAAGCTAGAAATAAGAGTTTTACAGAGAAATTTTACACATACAAATTCCGTGGAATCAATTCTCGATTAGCCTATTGCCGACAATATAAAACAGAGGTCTTCAAGCGATCTCCTGACATTCGAGCAATAAAGAGCGCAGCTATGGAATACCTAGCATTTGCCATCGTGGCAATGCTATTCGTACTTCCACTTCCCGGATCTAGCCAGTTTCTGGAGCCAAATTGTGGGATACGAAGTAAACCAAATGCAGTAAGGGTCATTAATGGCAAACTAGCGAAATATAACTCGAGTCCGTGGATGGTATTTCTTAAATCAACTGATGATATTTTCGTGTGCGGCGGAACTTTGATCACAAACAGTTCGTACAGAAATTTCGTTTATATATGTACATATATTATATATTGTCATTGCAGGACTGGTACTGACTGCAGCGCACTGCCTTCAACCGAATCAGACATTGTAAGTGGCATCCATACAAAAAAACAAAGTTATATACTTTTTTTTAGGTATGCTCGTCTGGGAGAGTACCAAAGAAGTCAAAAGCGCAAGTGCGTTGGAAGTTACTGCCATGTTCGAGTACATCACACAGTTAGCCAGGCTTTCAAGCCTCCCCTATTCCACAGCAAAATGTTTTGGAACGACATAGCCATTCTGCGACTAGAAAAACCTGTGATTTACAGAGGTGGGCTTCAGTTTTTTTCGCACCACAGGCAATCCAATTTTTTAATTTCTTATATGCTAGATAACATTAGGCCCATCTGCATTTTGGTGAATCCTGCATGGAAGAAGTATATCGACAGCATCCAGATACTGACCGGAACTGGATGGGGCATCACCGAGGACGGACAAGACAGCGATGTGCTCAGGACCCTAGACATACGGCGGCAGCCAGCAAGAGTGTGTCGCCAGTATATCGGTGCTAATATCGTGAGGAATCAGTTCTGCGCCGGAAACGGAAACAGTAATATGTGCAATGGCGATTCCGGTGGTCCTTTAGGAGCACTGGTCCCCTATAATAACACCATGCGCTATGTCCAAGTCGGCATTGCCAGCTTCACAGGGCCAAACTGCAAATATGCAAGTGTGTACACGGACGTTATGAGCCACATCGGCTTCATTCTTAAGGTGTGGCGTTACCCCGCCAATGGTCAGAAAAATACAATTACAAAAAGACCCCAGATCAGACCTTCAACCCGACCACCAGCCACACCACCTCCGTCACCTCCACCACCTCCACCACCTCCACCACTTCCATCCCCTCCACCACCTCCACCAACTCCACCACCTCCACCTCCACCACCTCCACCACCACCACCACCCAATCCTCCTTTCATACCACCCGCCGAACCCGTGATTCCTAGCTTCGCGGATTTTGACACCTATGAGTTTGACCATGACTCGTTCGATTTGGACGAATTTTATGGCTGAATACGTATATGTTCGCAATAAAATATTTAAATGAATGTTAAGAAGTGCAGAAATATATCATCGCCCATGCGTCAGTTTTATGTGTAGGGGCGCAGAGGAAATTATTTTGTTCCAGCTAAGCTTTTCTTTTCCATGGGGCTTCGTGTCAAGGGGCTGGGGAAAGCAAAGCAAAAGCATTGCCAACTAATTAAACTGATGAAAGACAAAGCCCCATGTGAAACAGTAACAAGCAGTAACAAAATAGCAGCAAATACTGCCTATCTGTCAGCACTCCACCCTGTACACTTCTGCCTACTCACCGAGCTCAGACTGATGTATGCAAACAACGGCCAGGAGTGAATCTACATCAGTATCTGTCTTGTTCTGAATACTCTTACCAATCTGCAGATACATCCGTTTCTGTGGAGCACTGAGGCCTACAGCATCCAGAGCACTTTGCCAGCTGTGGTATATTGACAAAATTAAATCCAGAAATGTTCATAGCACCAGGGTAAATTTACAATATTTCTAATCCCTTATAATTATAATATTATAATATATTAATAATAATAATATATTATATTAATAATTATAATAATAATATATTAATAATTATAATAATAATACATTTACAATTTCTCTAATCCCTTATAATCCCTGAAATCCAGAAATGTTCATAGCACCAGGGTAAATTTACAATTTTTCTAATCCCTTATAATTCCCATAATTTTTTTTTAACACCACCATATTCGTTACTGAAGAGCACTCCAAATTTGTGATGCGAAAGCCCGAATTTCTTTCCGGTTGTGTATTCTTTTTTGCACTGTTGTTACGGCACATTTAAACAATTGAACACACTCGCATCCGTATGATGGTCAGAACAAGTGGCCATGTGTATGCGTGGCATTCGACCCCCCAAAAGCGAACTGTTGTCATGGCATTTGCACAATTTCCCACAATGAAAAATAAATAGGTGCTGGATTCATTAGGATTACAAGAGTTTGCAGTCGACAATTGTCGGAAAAAGCGGAGACATCTCATGTGAATGTGTAGAAATATAAAAACAGATAACAGTCAATTCGATTTTTTAATTGAGGATTCCGGACATGAGCTAAACTGCCTCTAGCAATCAATGGATTGACGTGTTCAAAGAAATGTATTAAATATTTGTACTGCCTGCAAAAATTGGAAAACATAATATATAATATAACATATATATATATATAAATTTAAACATTTTGTGGCACTAGAAGGAGAAATATTGTCACCTTTACTTTGTGCGGACCATGATTCTCCACCCTTTTGGCTTACAGTGCACCATAATATATTGTTTATACTTGTATATTTATCGCACTGATATGCCAACTTTCGTTTTATATTTACCTCCCAGTACGCTGCGTCGCCTGCTAATTTCAATGTAGACTCTAATTTCATTGCTGAAATGCCCTTCTTCTCTGGTAAATGTTTGCTCAACAACTGGCAGTACAGTTGCCAGCAATGGTGCAATTTCTGCAGTCAAAATTTTGGGCAAATAGAGTTTCAGAATGCATGGGCATGCGTATTGTTTGGACAGAAGGAGCTGGATGTGTCGGTCGTAGGGTCCATGAGGTGCTGGTGGAGTCACTACCAAAATATTTAGCTAATTTATAAATTGCACATACTGTCCCTTCATCGACCCATTTTTTGCCCATTTTTTGTTGAGGTTTTCGACCAACAAAGGCACGTGACGCACAAGTGCTGGTCAAACAGCAGGTAATTTAATTGGCGATATATGCCTGCTTTATAGTATAAAAAGCACGCAAACGACTAAAAGGAAATTTCCTCTTCATTAACGTACAAAAACGAACAAATATCTTTATTCTTTTAATGTTCAATATTTTAATGAGCTAATAGGCACTTATTTCTACGGTGCTGGTGCTGAAGCTTGCAGCGCACAATCAATCGTTTCTTTATTAAATGTTATATACAATATCCGGTATCATATCGCTTCAGGACGGCTACATACTTGTGTCCATAAATGTACGTATATACATATTGCATAACTGCAAACATAATTCATTTTAAAAATCGATTTACCCGCTGGGTTCTGTGTCCAGTGTCCTGTGTCCTGTGACGCAGACGTCGTCGCTGCAGTTTATGAGTTTATTGTTTACGCTGCTTTCAGCCATAAATATTTGCAAAGTGCTTGTAAAAAACAAAAGGTGGCAAGAAAACGGGGCACACAGAGTGGCTGTGAGTGTGGGTGTGTTGGCGCATCGCACAGACAGTGTTGATGATGGCCAAGAACGCTGGGCAGCGGAAGCGAGGGGAAAGCCAATAACTTTGTTAAACGCCATCGAGTCGAGCGGCTTTTGTTGTTACTCTGCTGGGGTCGGAGTTCGCACAAACTTAACTTTTAGTTTGCATGTTTCAGCCATAAATGGAGCTGAAGGAAATTGAAGTGGCCATTGTCCTGGTGGGAATGGGATAGCCAGCCATCAGCCAGCCATCACCCAGCCAGCCAGCCAGTCAGCCAGCTCCGGCTCTATAAGCTCGCAGAAAACAAGCCAACCAAATCTATAATTGCCCCCAAACAATCGTCAATCAAATTGGGATCCTTCCATTGACTCCTGCCCTTCCGTGTTAGCGCACCCAAGCTATAAAATTTAATTTATTTGTCTCTAATAATTTCCCACGGCGACTGTTTGTTCTCCAAGTGTTGGCCAGCACGCCGAAGGACGCAGCGTATGTACGCTAACTGTTGGAGTTCGTAAATTGTATTGTTATAAAAATAGTACTAAGCCGTGGCTCCTTGTAACTATAATTTTTAGATAGGAAATATTCGTAAAAGATACATTTACTTGAAAGCGCATCGAAGTTTGGGGATTTTACACTACCATGTAAAACCTAAAAATTTAATCAATTCATATTGCTTAATTATATAGTACATAATATTAGAGTACCCAGACTGCGGTGGTTAGGTACCTGACCAGAGCGCACACTTGTTGTACCGATTTCTGCAGGCTTCAGTTGGGCAAATCTGAAGCAACAAGGAGCTGGAATAGAGACCACACACTCGCTCCAAGACCCTCTCTGTTGGCCAAACTCATAACTTCATTCGGCTTGCGTGCCAATTTGAATCGTATCGGAGGTGGCTTGAGTTGAAGCAACTAGGGGAATGCTCGTAAAGCTGCTGCTTTCCACTTAAGCGCAATTGGTGGCCATAAAAGCCACCGCGCTCGACTGGAAGGGATGGTCAACAAAGCAGTGAAGGGCCACGGATAATAAATAATTAGATCGTTTCGACCAGAAATTGAGACTAGATGGGGCTTATAATAGGCAAGCCCTTAGCTGCAGTTATTTGCATTCTTTCAATGGATTGTTAATTGCCTGCACGTACACTTAAGCGCACTTATCTGTGCTTAGATATTTATATGTCTCACGAGTAATAATAACTAGTAAATAAGTAATCTATAAATGAAAAATTTGGGACTTCATGTTTCTTCTTTCATAGCTTTTATTTGGTGATAATTTTAACTGACTGATAAATGTGTACTCCTACCTTGACGATTTGGGAATTAAATTGCTAATTTCGCTTTGAATTTTTGTACTGCTTCATAATTGAATTTGTATAGCTTTTTCCGAGTGCTGGAGGCGTGTTGCTGCGGCAACGGAAATTTCAAGCCAAACAATTGACTTATCATTTGACTGGCGGAGCAGCCAATCCCCAGAAGCGATCGAAGGGGACAATGGGCAAATTCCACGCAATCGGCTTATTCTGTTGACATTGCTGCGGTTTGGTGCCACTCCCAGGACCTTTTCCTTTGACCACCTACCACAGTAGTCACCAGAAGCCAACAACAATCACCGAGCATTTCTGCCCAATGCGAAACAAGGTAGAGCTGGTCGCAAAATCAACAATGCTGACAAATTCGCGCTTGGGCGCGGCACGTAGGTATCCAGTTTGTTGCAATTAAATATTGATTTCAAATAAAAATAGAAATTTATGATCTCCTTTCACTTATCCCTAGTCATGATCAGGCAAGACGAAAATTTCCTGAAAATTAAGCTTTAACTAGCACAAAAGCCAAAAAGCGGTTCAATTCATTTAAATTTGCATATTCCTTCATTTTCGCCATTTCGATTGAAATCCTTTATTGGGGATTTTTCTATCTACAGTTTTTTGAAGAACACGTGGAATGAAGCCACATTGGCCGAGATAAAAATTCAATTAAGCCCGTCCCAAGCCCACTAAAACAACTGGCACGAACACCGTTGTCAACTAATTACATGTCGGCAACCCGATGGCCGACGAAAGGTTAAAGTAATTTGCAGGGGACCGTTCTTTGGCTTTTAATTGGAAAAATACGTTTTCGCATTGAGTGGCAAAGGTGTGATTTATTATATTCAATGGCTGTTTGGTTCATCACTCTTTTTTTTGGTCTTTTCCGACTCCTTTTGGACCCTTTTCTGCTCTTCATTTTCTTTTGTTGTCTGCAAACTTTTGTATTTTAGATTGCTTCTTTCCAGACAAATCGAAATGAAATGTGTTTGTCTATGCTAAACAACGTTTAAAATGTTTGCTAAAGGACTTTAAAATTAAATTAATTTATACAAAAAGCAAAAAGCTTCAACTAAATGAGATTAATTTAAAGCTCTCTCAATAACCAACACCTTGTTTACCGCAAATGTGACGAATAATCAGAAATCTGACAGGAAATTAACTTATTGAACACCTGCCAAACGAACACAAATCTCGCAGCGTTCCATCAACTTTGAAAATGATTACAATTTAATTAAAAAGTCTAGAAATAACACCAATGGATATCCAGTTAAAATAAACAGGAAAGATAAGGAAGGAGTTTTTAACAACAAAAAATCAGGCGGAAAGTAGATACTGGCTAAAGACAATTTTATATAAATTAATGATTATAAAGGCTGTTTAACTGCCAATCAATTTAGAAAACAAATTTTAACTAAAATAAAGTTACCAATAAATTGAGAAACTAAAAATCATTTTTTAACACGCTTATAGTTGATATTTTTATCAATAAACCTTGAAGTGGTTCATATTCACACCATTTAGTTATATTTCATGAAATAAAGCTGGCAAATTATCAATTAATCTCAGGCAGCTACATCTCGATAATGATTTTGATAATTTTTGAGGAGAAATTTTAAAATGAATCGTATTTACGCATGGAATTCATAACATAACTTTATCGTTAAACTCTTAAGCTTAACTCATTGATTGCAATTAGTTGTATATGTGAAGGGCATAATGTAAACAATCCTTGAGAGATTATAACGTATCTCCATAAAATTATCAGTTCGGTCCTATCAGCTTAATTTTGCGTTATTGCCAGGGCATTATGAAAAATTCCCTCTGTGTTCGATGCCTAAGTGGCATCAGGTGCGTGTGTTTTAAGCCACTTTATGCTGCTGTGCACGTAATTAGTTAACAAGTTACATAAGTCCTCAGACCTAAGCCGTTTAAGTAGCCATGGAGCGTTGATGCTTTCGTCCTCCTTTCGGGTTTTCGTTCTTCTGCCACTTATAGTCGGCTTTGTCCACTTGTAGCTAACGTACACGTTCGTATGAACGTGTATACGGGTATCTACACGGAGAGAAATTGAAGTCCCCTTCTAACTTCTTATGAAATGAGGAAAGATTGACAAACTAACAGTAATGATTTCGACTTGAAATGTATTTTTAGTAAGTATTAATTGTAATTGTAGTTAACCAGTAATTGCTTAATAAATTCCTTTGCTTAAATAATACCTTCTAGTTTAATAGTGTAGTATAGAAAGAGAGAAAATAAAATGGGATTTACAAAAAGTGCCCAATAACAAAACCCAAACGCTGGGACTGAAACTATTCTTTCTGTGCATCGGTACGTTTGGGTTGGCAAGGACATTTTATGCAGCTAATGATGTATTCATTTTCTATGTGCAGCTCTGGCTCCTCCCCAGTGTGTCTTTTCAGGCTTTCAATTGCCGGCAAATGAAGCTCCTTGTGGGGCTGTCAGAGCGTTTTGTGTGCTTAGTGCAGTGGAAAGATACTTGAGTTCGTATGAGCAAATAATGCGATTTGCTTAATGAGCTTGCCAGAACACAAAAAAGAAAAAAAAAAGGACACAGCACATACACACGCCGATAAGTAGGCAATTCGGTCAGCGAATTTCAACCTTGAACTCAATCTGTGAGCCGTAGTTAATTCCGGTAAATATATTCACAAATTCCGGCTGGCTGGGGCCGATTTTTTGGCCCTTCGCTCCCAGGAGAACTATAAATAACCCTTTCGATAACAAACATTGCGATGTGTTGATAATAAAGGGTTGATTTATTTCTATGCTATGTTGTGATTTATGACCTTTAATGGCCGCCGATGGAAAAGCTTGTGATGCGAACGCCGTGGTTGTTGAACAATAAAGGAGAAAGAAATTCGACAACGAAAATTTAACATTTAACATTGGGCAGCTGCAAAAAATGTGAAACAAAAGTCACGGAAATTGTGGTGACTGGTGTCCCTTGAAGTTAATCAGTGCGGAGACATGGGAATCCCATCCCATCTAATAGATTTAAAATTTCCCTTAACAAACAAGTTCTTTGTATCTTCATATATGTATAAGCAACGGTGCCTATCAAATGTTGCGTTTAATAATTACGCTCAAGTGGAATGCGAATTTTAATATAATTATGACTCAAAACGAGGAAAATCCTGAATGATTAGCTCATCACGTTCCATTTAAAGAACCCCCTGATAAGCCCCATAGTCGAGCTTATTAAAAGGAAAAGCACGACGATCGATCTACAGTTGCGCAATGCAATCAGTTGCACTTGGAGTCTCAGCACTGCTGTTTCTGTTCCCCGTCCCGGGATCATCGCAATATCTCGACGGAAGGTGTGGAGTTCTGCCGAATGGAAAGATTGGGAATAATATCTGGAGTCCGTGGATGGCTTATCTACATACTTCGGAATTGATATACGTGTGCGGCGGCACTGTGATAACTGAAAGTCTGTCAGTCGAATCAAGTTCTTGCGATCCGAATACATATTCCTTTACATTGCAGAATTAATCCTGACTGCAGCGCATTGCACTAGGGCCAAGGAACAACTGCACGTGACTTTGAAATATATACCTACAATTAGTTTTATTTTTACATATGCTTGCACTTTGCAGAGTAGCTAGTGTGGGGGAGTTTATACAAGCAGAAGATGGTAATGAGACGATATCATCAGCGCACCAAGTAAACCAAACCTTTGTACATCCCTTATACAATATGACCGCAAACGCCAATGATATAGCAATTCTCGGTTTGGCTACGGATATTGTGTTCTCAAGTGAGTTTCTTCTTATTTATATTTCGCTTTTTTGAAATCCATTGAAAATCCCATATAAATATGAATTTTATTGCATTTTTCAAATTCGATTTTGTTCTCTGCTTAGAAACTATTAGGCCTATTTGCATAATGTGGTGGACCATTTGGAGAGAATATGTCGACAACATCCAGGTGCTAAGCGGTGCACAATGGGGTATGTCCTATGATCGAAATGAGAGTGAAGCATTTCGAATTACGGACATTAGACGTCAACCAGCAAGTATGTGTTCCATCTTAAATGGCACTGCAATTTTGAGCAGCCAGTTCTGCGCAGGAGACTCGGATACAAAACTGTGCAACGTAGACTTCAGCACTCCACTGGGAGCCACTATATCCTTAAGCAATTTTAGGCGCTTTGTCCTCATCGGCTTTGCAACCGCCAACCAAAGATGTAATAGGCCAAGCGTTTATACGGATGTCCTAAGTTACACCGATTTCATAATTTCAGTATGGCGGCAGTACCGCAAATTTGATAGACAACCTTTTCAGGGGCGCTGCGTAGGAACGAAGGCCTTCGCAACTTCCGGAAAATCCCGATTTTGTTTGAACAATTAAAATGCTTGAATGGCCGAGGTGCCCGCCCACATGCCAACCGACAGCACATTAACTACAAATTACATTCACATTAGTGTTTCGGAATTTTGCAGCCTGCCCATCCGGACGGTTCCTTGGTCCTTCGTCCTTGGTCCTTGGTCCTTGGTCCTGGAGCTGTGTTCCTTCTGCCCGGTTCCTCGATTCGGCCTGCTCGTGCTCGTCCTCTTGCGCTTTTCATTTCATTTCGTTTCGCTGCCTTGCTTTTTTCACCAAACACCTAATAAATCAAAGCGGACTCGTGAGAGACCCCAGGAGTATGCTTGTTAAATGCTCGTAATAAATTAGCTGCCGCCTCCCGGACCGCAAAGCCTGGCCCGGCCCCGCCCCCTGAACACCCGCCCACCTGCCAGACATTGGCTCCCCAACTCCAGGGCCCTGATTATTGGCTTAGCTCATGGTCTGACCATTTTACAATTGCCTCCTCGCCATCCGATGCCCGCCAATTGAACTCAATCGATGCCATTCCTGCTCTACACTCTGTGGCCCAGACTCATTCATTTTGCTAGCAATTTTTTCTTTTTCTTTTTTTGTTAGACATTTTTTTGTTCTTTTTTTTGTTATTTTTTAATGAAGTCAGCGCAAAATTTTACGCTGGGCTAGCAATTATTGTGCATGGCGGGTGGAGTTTTGCGATTGGGGGAAAAGATTTCCCGCATTTGGCGTTCCCTTTTATGCAACTCATTTTTAATTCCGCTTTGCTTGAACTTTACGCAAATAATTTGGGTGAAGTGTTTAAAACTAGCTGCTTTGTTCTCAAAGAATACTGTTAACTATTCGAAAATGTTCACGGCTCATATTAAACACAAAGAATATTACTCTAATAATGCGGTGCTTGAGTTCCTTTATATAATTTTGCGAAACTTAAGTTTCCCAAGGGCTTCTTGTAACTCTTCCCGTTACCAAAAGGCTCGTGTTGACTGAAATCAGCTTTCTTTGATATATGCACATACTCGTATATACAAAGAGCTCATGAGCACATACGGACATTTTTATGAGCTGCGCGTAAATGTTGCATAATTGTTTCATGTACACAATGTCACACGCACGCGACTAACGAAGTGCTCCATGATCGGCGAAGAAGTCGCAGTTTTCTGGCAGAGGGAAGCAGGTGGGTCGAGTCGACGCTAATTGGAATGCCAGAGACAGGTAGAGGAAACCAAGTAGCAGGGATAGTCATCAGCAGCATCCCACATACTGCACTGCGCGAAATGGTATGTTGTTAACGGAATGAACGAAGTACTTTTAATAACACACTGCCATAGATATATACACAATTCTACAAATACAAAAGGTAGCTGTCTTTATTAAGCGCACATTTGTTAATGGGCATTTTGCAATTTATAAGTAAATACCATTTACTTACTGTGTAGCACATTTTGTGCCAGCCAGGCAAACTTGATGAGAGGCTCCTTCTTGACTTCCAGCCTCCGTGCCAAACTTCCTTTCTACCATTTTATTTGAACAACTTTGGCGCAGCAAAGTTCTTAAGCGTGCAAGTAAAAATGCAACGTCAACGCCTCGAACGTAAACCCAAAGTTAAATGTATCTGAGTACCAGGCGCAGCTTGGCAATGGGGAGTGCATCACGCTAATTTCAGCAAACGCGTGGCAGGCTAAAATTAAAATAGCAACGCCAGAGATGCTTACTTCCACAATCAGCAGCAAATAAAAGGTGGCGTGCGCTGCCAGGTATGCGACCAAATTTGTGCAGGCCGCTGCAGAAAGTTGCACGTTCTTGAAGCTTCCTTATATGTTCACTTACTTTTATTATAAAAAAAATTGAAAAAATCTACTATAGTTTAGATCACTGACATAAGCACCATATAGAGCAAAACTCTAGAGTTTCCGATTTTATTTTTAAGTTTCCACAAGAGCTGCTGACGTTCTGTTCGAGTTTATAAAATAAAAGCCCCGAAATTCCAAGACTTATTTTCATTCAAAGCCCGAAAATAAGGGAACTCGGTATATATTCAGAAGTGAGCGGCTGAAAGGCTAAGCAATTTTTTGTAATACATGCAGCAGCAGCAGACGTGGTGGCTTGGTCACTTGGCAGTTGCATGCCGCACGCGTTCAGTTCCCCCACCGCTTTTGGCCACAACTGTTGCCCAAGGCAGCCCAAGGAAAATCGCTGCAAATGAAAAATCACAGCGCCGTGCAGCGGTGCCTCATTCCGTGCGCCACACTTCCGCTTTCCCGCATTCTCTTCCGCTTCCTGGCCTTTGGGTGCCGCTCACCCACTGGCCAGCGAGGTCCTAACATTTTTATTGTGTTCTGCTCGGTGTGGCAAAGTCATATTCATTCACATTCATTCATTCATTCACTTCTGACTTGCAACACATTTTTATATATCTTCTCCTTTGGTGTTGCTCTTTTTTTCTGGGCACAGAGTGTGAATGGTTTTGTATTTTTATCCCAGTTTCTCACATACACTTCTTAGGAATTTATTTTATTCCCGAAGATCTGAAACTGCACCTCACCTTCAACTATGCAGCCAATTAAATATAACAGTGAAAAGTGAATTTCCTTCATTGCGTTTATCCAAGGATTTGAGGTCTTAAGTCATTTATCAATTTAAATTCATACATTTTGTAGATGATTGTTAGGTAAAGAGGTGTTTGTAGTCGGCCTAACTGAATGACATTCGGTTTTTATTTCTATTTTTCGTTTCCATTTCCTATTTTCACATTTTTACTTCTGTCTGTGCTTTGGCTTTTTGATGTGTCCCATTTTGTGTTTGGTGTGGTGTGTGCAGTTAAAAGATTTATAAATATGAATTTTATACATTGTGGCATGAAAAATGCAAATTTTAGAAATGGCCAAAGGAAATAGAAATGGTCGTGCGCAAGAGCACAGATTTTGCATTCCCCTCAAAAGACTGGATGTCCCAGCATTCCCGTTTTCCCCTTACCACCGCCCATTTTGTGTCTCATTTTTTGTGTCCTTACAAAGGAGTTTAATAGTTTTTTCCACCATTTTTTTGTTCTCACACAGATGCGTTTAATGGTCGAAAGACTGAAACATCCAGGATTGTAGCGAATGCAACAAATGGCCACAGGAACCACGAAAATAATACTCGTTTAATAGAATGAAATAAGGCATATCGGCACAGTGCTTCATATAGTATTTAAATTAGTTTACTTCTAGTGTACTAGTGTTTTTGAGTACATTTGAGGTATGTCTTATGGTACTTCTTTTTGTTAGGCCAAATCTAAAAAACTTAATTTTTTAAAGGTACGTTTAGGTCGATTCAACACCAAACGAAACACTTTCGTTTCATTACTAGATAATTAATTGTTATTTGTGCACGTTTTTTACAGACCACTGGTAGAATAAACTTGTTATTTTTTTGTTGTTGGGCAATGTCATAAATCAGTACACTTTTATGCAAAATTTTCCGGAAATTTTGTGGCAAAAATTGGCAAGTGCTGGCTAGCTGAGGGACATTAATATTTATTAACATGTGGTGCATGATTAATGCATAGTAATAAAATTAGTTAAAGCCTCGAGGATGTACTCTTTACAAATAACGGTTTCAAGTTGGATTGTAAAGTGTAATTAATATTAAATGTCATCAATTATTCTAAAACAGCACATTCGTGCACATGGGGTGCGATAATTGACAGAGAAATCGCTATTCCCATTTAAATCAATTAAATTATGAATGCGACTAAAATTATTTAATGATGCACAGGGCCACCCCGGTTTGGCTTTTCCCATCCACTTGATGACAGCAATAAAATACATTTTATATTGCGCAATTGCAGTTAATTATTAATTCAATAAATTGTTGCCCACTCACTTAAAAGTATTTCAAATAATTGTCATCAATAAGTGCTCATGAGTGTGTCTGTTGGTGAAGCAAATTACATAAATTATGCAGTTTATCAACAGCCGAGGCAAAGAAATTGTCATTTAAAGAGTGTGTTAATTGTCAAGTGGCTTGCGGAAATACGAATTTTAATTGAAATAGCCCACTGAAGCACCTATGAAATTAATACTTAGGCTATTTGATAATTTGCAAAAGGTAAATAATTAACTATTCGCCCTCATGTCCTTCAAATTGCGTGTATTTGAATAGTAAAGACCTCTGTAATTTGGTACTCTGTGAATTAGCTACCAAAGTGAATCATTAAATTTTATCGACTGTAAGCATTAAGTTTCACATGACTTTGCCGCAGCGCATTACCAAATTAATTGTTCTTTGCTGCTGGCTGTTAAAACCCTTCTCAAAAAGCTCCTATTGCCTCAATTATGCCTTTCAGTAGGCAATTGTGAAGTCGCCACAGCAGCTTCGGATTTTATTACAACGATTTACATAAAAGCACATACAATCGTAATCGTAATTTTTGAGACAATCAAATTAGTTGGCTAAATCAGTTTACGCTCGGTGACATTTCAACGAGTATTTTGTCTCTCCTGATTAGCCAGTAGTTGCACAAAATTGAAATATAGAAAAATCCTTTTCCATGATATTAAGGAGATGATGATCTTAAACAATCTCTTAAGCTCAACCTTATCAACTAAAATGCCGCCAAAACTCGATGTGGCTTAGGACATTCGTGTAGATACTGCCGATCTGGACAAATCTCTGTATCTTTTTGTATCATATCGAATTAAGCTCGCCTGTGTTAAAAACTTTTGTAGCAATCTCAAGGACAGCTATATCCTTCACAAGTGCGATCATATCGAAATAAGGATGTGCTTAGAGAGCAGCATATTATTCTTTATCTGAGGGAAGGAAGATAACAGAAATTTCATAAGACTTCCAGATTTTCCCTTGGGATCCCCTACTGTTTAGGGAATCTCCATTGAATTTAGGGAAGTGCATGGCATTTCGGGGAATTCGAAAGAGTGCTCCCAAGCCTACGGGTCACCGACGGCAGTCAATTTTCTTGTTTACAATACGCAGCCCCACATCCCCATTCGCATTCACATTCACACACGCACACAATGACAAATAGCAAACAATTACAGGAGGCGGGGCGAGGCTGTCCACGCCCCCATATCTTTGTGCGGCTGCGGTGTTGTTGTTGGTTTTTGGCCGCAATAAATACAATTTGCATGACAAAATAGCAAACACCGGCAGCTTTTGCATGTGTCTGTGTGGCTCTGTGTGTCCCTCTGTGTCCCTCTGTGTCCCTGTGTGTGTAAGTGTGCGTGGGCGGGAGATGAGTTGGGGGGCGTGGCGTGGCGCGGAAGCGTCTGCAGGTTCACTCAGCCAAACAAAACTACACACAAAAACAATCAACGAGCAGTCCACTGCAACAACACTGCCTACAAAGGACCTCATTGCATGGCCCTAAACACCGAATTCGAAGCACCCTTCGCACATTTAACAAATTTCAAATCAGTGCATTTTACTTGCATTTACTTTATTTTACTACTTCATGATAGTGAGGTGTACCTACTTACTAACTTACTGACTTACTTGACTTTAAGCTAATTTCCAGAAATTAAAGTCATAAAGTTAGGATTTATTTTGTAGATAGATATATTAGGAAAAATGTATCTACTAGCTATTAAGTCAAGTAATCAACTTGAATAGTGGCTGAAAAAGTATGAGTTGAACTGTTGCAGTAAACATTTCTATTTCGTTTTTAAGGAACATTTTCCATACACCGACTACATTAATTAACTTCTTCACTACTGAATTGACTGAATTGCATATGCATGATGGAAATAAAAATACTCTTCGCAAGAGTAATACAGAAGCAAACGAGGCGGAGGCTGAGGTCCGTAGTTAGGCTTCTGCCGCTTCTGTGAATCAACTTATGAATATTCAATTTTACATAAAAGATTTTTTGTTGTTGCTGTCGTAGCTGTTGTTATTTTGAGTTTTTGTTGCCACTGTGCTGGAGCTGTTCTTTCGCAGCCGTTCCTGGTTGCAGACCTTTTTTCAGATATCTCGCCGCTTTTCATGGCTGCAAAAACTCTTCATGCATGCCATGAAATGTGAAAAATATTGGCCGGGCTGACAGTTTGGGGTGTTGGTTACTGGGTGGGATGAGCTAAGTGAGGTATAAAGTGGGTAGTCTCGTAAAGTAGAACTAGCCGGAAGATAATGGAGAGGCACTGAAAGAAATAAGCTGGGCTGTGCAACCAAGTTTGTGTGTGCAAGGAAGTGAGTTTAAAAATATTAATTTGATGCCAAATTTATCTTTTTAAATAACGAAAGTTTCCAAATGAGACAAGGGAAAACTGAAAATTTAGCCACGACAGATTGATGAGGCACATAACAAAGCTTTTATTGTCTGCAGGGAGACCGAGTTTATGCTCATCAATGCCCAATTCGGCGTACTCAGTCCAAATCCAGATCCTTTTCGAGAAAAGTGCCCTGCGCCTGAAGTTTCGACGCCTTCATGACGGACAGCGACTTGAGAAGGTCGTCCATTTGGATTTCCAAGTGTTCCAACTCCCGCATGTTCTGATCCTTAACCTCGAAGTCCCATTCAATCTTGCCTTTTCCAATTTGCTCGCCGGTGTTCAGCTTTTCGCGCATAAACTGGCGCATGCGGTACATGGATGCGTGGCGACACAATTCGCGTAGATCAGATCCTGAAAATCCCGCCGTCAAGCGCGCCATTTCCTTCAGGTCAACCGAAGGACTCAGTTGCTCGGTCTGGAGGATCAATTGGAGGATTTCGCGTCGCTGGCAGTCTCGCGGCACTCCTATATGAAATTGTGCGGGCATGCGTCGCAGGATGGCTTTGTCGAGGTCCTGCGGCCGGTTTGTGGCGCCCAAAACGAGGACACAAATGTTGGTATTGCTCATTAAGCCATCCCACTGCAACATAAACTGCGTCTTCATCATGGCGGTGGCCTCGTGATCGTTGCTACCCCGCATCCTGAGAAAGGATTCGATTTCGTCTATGAAGATGATGCAGGGCTGCAGCTTTTTGGCCAGTGTGAAAACGGCTGTGGCCAGCTTCTGGCTTTCGCCGTACCACTTGTCCGTTAGAACACCGACATCCAGATTGATGAATCGCATCCCTGCATCCTTGGCAATGGCCTTGGCGATCAGGGTCTTGCCACAACCGGGCGGTCCATGCAGCAGGACTCCCTTGGGCGCCCGCCACAATTTCGATCGGCTAAAGAGCTTACGATGACGCACTGGGAGCACCACCGTCTCCCTGAGCTCCTGTATAGTCCCATCCAGTCCGGCTATATCCGACCAGCTGACATCGATGTCCTCGGGCGTAACCAGATGCGAAGCGATCATCATCTCATGCTCACTAAAGTCACGAGCTCGAAACTTCTTTCCCGCGCCATTTGGCGAGGAGTTCAACTTGCGCAGCTGCTCCTCTGCCAGATATTTCGCCTTGCCCCGCATCTTATTATTGGGATCCAGCGCGTTGATCATCCACTTGGCAGTGTAGTACGTAAACGCGCTGAACGCACACACCCGGATTACGATGGCCAGGATATGGCCCTGAGTTCCCTCCTGCGGGTCCATTTTACACACACCAATTTGTATCGACAAACCAATATCGAATAATAAATGTCACTTATGAATACCCATCGATATATGACTACTGCCTACTGATATACTATGCCCAACACTGAATTACGATGAATATAGGATAGTCAAGTGTCTTAGAAGAATATTTTTAAAAAATAGTCTCTCACAGACAATGAGAAAAAAAGCACAAAGGTGCTTTCTAAAAATTTGTTAGGTTTCTAAATATAAAAAGGATTTCCGCCACACTGGTATTATATTAAAGTTTGATACTGCGTACAATATGGCGTGATAAGCCATTTTTACCCACTGTGCATTGTCCAGATGCGTTTTAATTTCTGTTTAACTTTTCCGGGCTGCCTCTGTTCCTCCTTCACGATTTTGACGCTAACCTGCAAGAAAAGCCGGCAAAAAAAACGGAAAAAGCTCGAGTGGAAGGCGGAGAAGAATGTTTTCTAGTTTAGTATCTCTCAGCGGAAGTCAATGTAACAAAAGATAAACTTGTCGAGCCAGCTGCTGTTCCTTGTTCCTTGTATCTAGCTGCGAGAATCCATCGCCGCTCCTTCGGTATCCTGTTGAATTGGACGCAGCAGCCAAGGACGAAGGCCAGGCCATAGGACGGTCAGAAGTATTAACTAAACACTGCAGCAATTTATCTGCGAACCCCTTTACCACCCAATTTACCCAGCCCACCGAACATAGGTCAGTTCTGTGCGTTGGCTTTGTCTTGAAGTTATTTCCGCTGCCCTTTCCCCCTTCACGGAAATCGCTGCGCACTGTGTTGTTTTGGGCTTCCTTCCGCATTACAAAAGAATTACTCAACACACAATGTCTGCGCAAAGTTTTCACTACTACGAACAGAGCCCTTTTATCCACCGTTTCTGCCCAATAGTTTTCATATTCCTGGCCCAGGTGTCTCTGTCTGCCCCCCAAAAATTGGTATTTGGCCAAAGTCTTGTTAGCATTTTAATCCAACAACTTCATGTCTGTATGTGCCAGCCAAAAATTAAATCTAATCCAATGCAGAAAATATTGTAAGTTAAATGAAATGGGAGTAATCAGTCAATGTAAAACTAAATCGTACTATAATCCATATGGCTTTAGTTAGATTGAGCTATTTGCCAATAAAATAAATTGAATTAAAATGAAGACGAAGCAATGCATGTGCCATAATTTCTTTAAATAAATATAATTAAATTACCATTTCAAAGATTACCTTAAGGAGTGAAATGCATCTCAAACTGTGGAGTGGCTTCCTCTTTCTGAGCCCTAAAAACTGATCTGCTCTTGACCTTTGCCCACTTAACAGAGTTTTCTATCTTACCGCCTCCGTTGGGCGCTATTATGGATGCAATTTCAGTGCGCACTTTGTGCAACATCTTTAAGCTCGTTAGCGTGCCGGGAACCTTTATGTTGAGCAAACAGCCCAAGTTCTTCCACTGTCTGAGCTACTTTTGAAGAGTTCATAAAAATCACTTCAGCTATGCAATATTTCATGATTTCACCAACTCCTGCTCGCTCACTACCTTGAACTGGATACCACCCACTATATTCGTAGTCCTTTCCCCTTATTTCGTCCTCTTTGTCAGATTCCAAGTTCGCTCGTTCGTTCTGCTGAGCACACGAAAAGTTTAATTATATTTTTTGTTGTTATTACTGTGCCTATATTGTTGCAAACTGAAGCTTTCACTTGAAAACTTTTGCAGAATTCGTCAAAATGTGACATGACGACAGAAAAAATTCTTTTACTTAGCTGTCTTTTTATGCAAACTTTAAGCATCTTGCATCATACAACGGAAAACATATTTAAGAATAACATTATAATAGTTTAATATTTAGTTTTAAATTTATTAGAGTAAAAAATAACAGGCTCTTCAAATAGAGTACTTGAAATTCAAATATGCATGCGGATTTAATTTGGCTTTTATTAAGGAATAGTCCTCAACTCAATTGACCTTCCTTCAGAGATCCTGTCATCACTTCCATGTTCCTCTTCTTTGTCAGTCTGCCCATTATCATGTCGTAAAGCGCATTGACATGGGGAGACAAATAAACATCCAGCCTGATATGATCTTCAATTTCTCGTAACAGGGTGACACAGGCGTCGAACTCATCCGCGTAGAACTTGGCCAATATGTGCCACATTTTGGGCGAAAGCTGAAAGAATGGCTTAAATGCTTCCGAGTTGATGGCGCCCAGCTGTAGGCTCTCCCGATCAAAAGTGGCTAGAGCGCAAAGACCAGCATATAGAGTAACGTCTTCGGGTGCCACGATTTTGTCGTAATCGTACCGCCCAAACGGAGTGTTCAGGAAATATTGGGCGGCTGTTTTGTATATCTTTAGGCCCATGTAAGCCAAGCCGGCAGCACAGCTTAGACGACCTGGTACCTCCAGGGCCAGATTCTCGAATCCAAAGGCATACTGCTTGGCCTCATCGATGTAGGTGAGTACGTACCACCAGTTGTCCATGTAAATGGAGACCCTAATCAGGTTCCGGAACATATTGATCACATTCTCGCTGCTGGTACAGTAGGGCCTGGCTCTAGCATAAAACTTGACCGCCATCTGCAGGTTTCCGCTCTTCTCGTAATGATCCCCGATCTCCTCCAGAATGCGCCGCACATAAGAGCTGCCCGAGTTCGATTTCTTGAAGTTCAGTTCGGCGTCCAGTTCCTGGAGCATCAGCGTGGCTTCCATGGTGTTGTCCTCCACCCAGTAGGAATCATAGGGCACCAAGGCTCTCCCCCTGCCGCTCGACGTGCTCGGCTCGTTGCCATCGGGGGCATGACGTTCTTTTCCATGGGTGGTGTATTTCCTGTCCACCTCAACGCAGAGCGTTTTGTAGAGCTCGTCGTACAACTTGACATTGTAGGTGGTCTTCACGTGATTGAGGGCCAACTCAAGGGCAGGAACACTCAGCTGCGGGCAGACCTGGGCAATGAACTTCAATCGGATGAGACGAGGAATGTCCGTATAGCGATCGGCGTAGCTGGGCAGGTTTATCAAGGTCTTGTCCCCATAATCCATGGCATTGGGTAAGTTTTAAGTCAAGGGAACCGGCTGTGAGTGGAGAAATTCGGAACCTTTCTCCGGAATTTTTTGTATTTTTAGTCAAAATGCTTGTGAATGGAGAGGAATGGCGTTCTAGTTACTTATTACACCCGTTACTCGTAGAGTAAAAGGATTCGTGGAATAGTTTCCGACCATATAAAGCAGCTATGTTATTCTTGACCAGGATCACTAGCCGAGTCAATCTGGCCAGGAACTATAAAAGCGTTAGAGTAGATATTTAAAACCTGGTTGTGCACCTTCAAAAGTTATTAAAGCGTGAAAATGTAGTTTTCAGCTTGAATCCTGTGATGAATATGTTTCATTTTCGATTTTTCCCCAGACTTGGCATCCAGGTATTTTTAAGAGCTAAGCATTTGGCCACCTTGAACAGCCGGCTAAGAGCCAAATCAATTCAACGCTTTGCACGATTTTCCACCATTTCGGTTTTGGCCATTTTCTATTTGCGTGCGGAAGCGAAAGACCAACGACCAGGCCAATAAATTCAGCCAAAGGCGACGCATCAATAAACCGTTAACTAGCGGTAACAATTTCTTATATAAGTACGAATCCTTTCCCTTCGTTTCCCTACTGATTTATGGCTCTCTGATGTCTGCGATTTCTCAAGTCCTGGTAATTTGATTTTTGCATTTTATCCCTACCTCCCCAACCAACCCTCGTTTGATCCCTTTCAATGCCTTTTGCCAATTTGATTTGTATCTGTATAATGGAATTTGGTTATTTCCCTGGGAATTGTAACCGTTTCGGACAATCTGCAGATACAAACTCGCGTACGGGCTGTTGCATATTGCATTTTTGCGAGCATGTCAGGGCACCCGGCACCAAATGCCGGTACCAAATTCATATCATCTGCTCCCTTCTACCCGACTGGAAGGCCCAAATACCAATGAACTTACACATACAGTTTTTATTCATATCTAATATTTTTTACCGGTTATTATAGTTCTTCAATACGAGCATAATAGAATTGTCATATGCTCAAAAAATACGAAAGCTACTTTGTTGCTAGTTGAATTTAGACATGCGGCAGGCTTTCAAAACAGTCATTTAGCAAGGTCAAAACTTGATAAAAATCCTTGGATGAAATCGAAGTTGATTAGCCAAATCGGCGGCGGTAGTGGCGCCACATATCGCAGATGGCCGGCTTGAGCAGGCAGTTGCACTCGATGGGCCGAGCATCCGGGAAGGGATCACGCCGACACTCGGAGAAACTTGGATACTTGGTCTTCGGTCTAGTGCCACAACGTCTAAATGGACGACGGCACTTGGGCGGATTGCGGGCGGCCACACAACAGTTGGGCATCTTGAAGCGCGGACACTTGAATGGCGGCTTAATACAGGGCTTGATCAGATTAAGCTCCAGTTTGCCCAGGACACACAAATCCTCGGGGCACTTGGCCTTGATCGACTTGCGCTTGCGGCGCGGCATCGGCGGCGGAATGGGTACACAGTGGGCCTTACGCTTCCGCCGCTTGACCACGCACTCGAACCAGGTCCGTGGATATTTCCGTTTGCCCATGTCCGAGGGCTTGTAGTGGGTGAGATCGATGGCCAACATATCGGTGGCGCAGTCTTCTAAACAGTTTTTGCGCGAATCGATGAAGGCGGGCATCTGAAACTCTGGATCGGAGCGGCACTTGTACTCGGTCCGTCGCGTCGTTTGCCAACAGGCATCGTATACCTTTGACCTATCCACCTTCTCCATGGGCTTTAGGTCCTTGCGCGGCAGAATGGGCGCTGTATAGTGGCTCTCCGAGCGAAACGTTGACGGTGGCAGAAAGCCCAGGACTTGCTTTTGCAACAAGTGCGACATGCCAACCAGCGTTTTGCTTTTTGTCAGCATCTTAATTTTGGTTCGTTTAAAACTAGTTTGCAGTGAGTCCTCAAATCAAAACGAGTTAATTTTGGGTTCAAAATGGTAAAAGGGCGACACGCTTACTCCGACTTCAATTTCGCAAGTTAATTACTGACCGCACCGCATTTTTGTAATTTTTGTTGATGTACTCCCGTTGAGACGTTTGAGGAGACTAAAACGTGGGCTGTCGTTCTGGGGGCAAATCACTGACAGCTAGCCTGATACAAATCTCATGGATGCTTAGAATTTTTCGGTTTCCCAACCTCCCAAAATATCATGTTTCCATCGATATCAGCCAGCATGGGTTCAAATTACATAATGCTGGTTTCTTATCGAACATTTTTTTTAATATTAACCATGCGAGCAAAATCATTTCTATGAGTCAAAGTTTTAGGAGCAAAAATCACTGGAACTCGTCGAACCCTTTGCTTCAACTGGAAATAAGGGCAAGCTGAAAAACATTAATTGGACCAGGTTGCGACTTGCCACGCCCCGTTAATGTCCACTGACAGTCACACGCACTCGCCCACTTGACCGCTAAACGAGCACCGCGGCTTTGAGCCTAGATTGCAATTAAAATCGATTTTCAACTTTGATCGGCGCTCTTTGATTGCCAAAGCTGCCACACCCACAGCACAGCCCCCAGGGCCGCCCACCCGCCTGCGTTTGACGTCTATTGTGTCGATTTGTGTCTGTCAACGTCTGGGACTCCAACATCCAGCCGACAACCGCCCTTCGCCATCAGCCCTTTGAACAAATTTTAATGAAATTAGAAATTTGAGCGCGCCGATGAAAAACTGAAAACGATGTCAACGTTTTCTGGGGTACTGCACTCTCGGCCTCTCGATTACTTGCCAATTGTGAGCCAATTTTGACTTTGATTGCCGAGCCTGGTAGAAAGCCAGTGCCCATCTTTCAGCTATCAATCTGGCCGACTTTGATGCCTGGACCCAAAAATCTGTCGCCGAGATTGCTGCATTCAATCAAAGGTCACTTTCCAACGGTCAGGTCGCAATGGTTACTTCGGCACGAAAAGGGCAACTTCGTACTCGTAAACCAATTTCCCAAGCCTTCATTCTTAAAACAAGAAGAGCACTAAAAGCTTTGAATTTTAATACTTTTTAAACGGACCAGTTTGACACATTATGACACATTTATGCTATAAAACACTCAGAATGAACAAGAAATTTATACGGCACATCTGCCCCAGTGAGAAAATTTAATTATATTTCAATTTATTTCTATTACTTTTCCCCACCGCAGGAAATTAGCACAAACAGAAGATGACTAAGGAACGCAGCCAGGAGTGAAAGAAGGCTTCCACTTTCTGCACTCCAATTTACTGTCTTTGCCGCGGTAGAAGCTAGACAGGGTCTGCCACGCCCCCAGAGCCAGCTGCGGGGGCGTTTGCCACAATACAGACGGTGCGTTGGAAAGAATGAGCATTAATTAAGTTTGGGCTTGTGTTTGATAACTACCGATGGGTAAAGGAAAATAGTCCGCTCACAGCATTAAAGTATTTTTTATCGCAACTGTATAATTCATTTTATACACGGAGAATAGAGATATAAAGATGCGAAGCTATCAATAATTTCCGCTCTTAATACATTATTTTCTTCTTTTTTTAGAATATTTTAGAGAATTAAGTTATATATGTTTAAATCCATCCTTTCACGTGTAAATGTATGTTAGTCTAAGCTGTACACTTCATAGGTTTTCTAATTTTCCTGTGAAATTTGTAATTTTTTGTTTAAGGTCTCGCAAACTGGATCGTCCAATCAAAGCAATTGTCCAAAAACAAAACCCGAATTCAGACAGAAATTGAACTGACAACTCAAAAAAAAAATGGCAGGCAACAAGCCAATCATGTCTAAATAATTGTTTATTTTCATCAAAATTTATTGTTCACTGCACCTGCGGCATGCCCCGAAATTGAGCCACATAGACTGGTGCAGAAAAAGGGGCATTTGTATTTTCCAGACTTGTATAGATTTTCATGTGTACTCAAAAACATGGAAACTGAATGCCCTCATGAGTGTGCAAATTTTGTATATAATTTGTACAACAAACAAATGACTGCCAGAGCGAGACGGAGGCGCACTGAGTGAGACGGGGAGAGTGCGATTTAGGCTTTGTGCTGTGTTGACCATTCAGCTTGGGTAAATAAAACATGTAAGCTGTTTGACAAATATTTGCCATTGGCTTAAGCGCCATTGCACCCGCGATATCGGACACTTAAAGCCTGACCTGCGATGGCAAAGAATTTAGTTATAGTCCTACGTTTCATCGTTTCATCAAAGCTATACATTTTGGCAAACTTCTAGATTATAAAACAATATGTGGAACATTCAATATCTTATTAAATGTATTTGTCAAATTATAAAAAGAAGCTATTAAATATTTACGGCAGAAGGGTCCTGAATTCATGAGGAGTTTGGCTGCTGTTTTTGCTCTGTACACCTGACATACGGAACAGGCAGCCCGAGTGGCCAAGTGGGCGGCGAGGACGATGAGCGGCAGAGTTCAAATTCAATTACCTTTCAAATATTTGCATTTTGCGACACAAACTTTCATCATAATGCTGCACAATGGCTGCCACTCGAACGCCACTTGAAAGCGGCCAGTGGATGGGCGGTGGGCGGTTGGTGGAGCTGGGTGGCTGGTGGGTAGGCGGGGCTTTGTGGTGCAGGCACGATAAAGAACAGACCGGCAGGAAGCAGCACTCAAAACAGTTGCCGCTAATGTCGTCCTTCTTCCTTTGGCCCAAACGACGGCGACCCAACGTCGTCGAGTTCGGAAACGACAATGACGTTAACTTTCGCCGCCTACTGTTTCCCGCCGCTCCTCGTTGTCGCCCACTTTCGAAACAATTACAAAACAAAGGCCAGGGACTCCAAAGCCCCTGCAGCACAGCACGGTCGACGTTGGATGTCGGGCGCAGAAAAAAAATACGTAAATAAGCCAATTACAAAACAGAAATTGCAACAGCAACTATGCCGCCCTCTTACCAAAAGCCGCATGCAACTCGCTATATTTTCAATGTCCCCACGGCCAGATAAGCGGAATTGAACAACCTGCTTAGGCTCATATTTAAAAATTTATGTTTAAATAAAAGTTAAATGCAGAGAACTCAGCAAACTGCGATCGTAAGTAAAATACTTTGAGGTGATAATCTCCTGCTCTAAAACATATTTCTATATATTTCGAATATTCAGAAAATGACGTTTCTCAGAAAAGCTTAAAAAATTTTTGAATTTCAATGCATCGAGTCTCGACCAGAATTGCCAATTGATGCAAGCAGAAATTTGTCATTTCCGAAGCAGACATCGAATGCATTATGCATCAAGAAACATATAGTCACTCACACTCACTGACTCCACACACTAACCCTATTTACATGATGAATTCTTTGCCAAGCCCCAATTGAGGAACCAAGGTGACTGGTAACTGGTAACTGGTAACTGGTGACTGGCGATAGGTCCGCACAGAGCATAGGTAATGCCTTCCGTCGTCCTGCCAGTGGAACTCCGCGTGTGTAGGGCAAAATGAAACACCCATCTGCATACATATAATATGAGCTGTGCATGTACTTACATTCATCGTACGAATGCCCTCTGGCACGATATAAAATGCATAGAATTTTCCCTTTAGTCGATGCGTTTTGAGTACATTTTTTATATTATGCATGGCGCTGTCTCAACAAATAAGCCAGAATACAAAAAAAAAAAGAATGCAAAATCGCAACGCAACAAGAAAAATCATTTGTATAGGAAATCATTTAATTTCCAGTGGGCATGGTGTATTAATAAACATGAGCTACTTAAACCTGTTGTCTAATTTGAATTTCATAGTCTGAAAAATCAACAGGAAAAATCATTTGTATAGGAAATCACTTAGTTACCAGTGAGCATGGTGTATTTATAAACATGAGCTACTTAAACCTGTTGTCCAATTTTAAAATCATAGTCCGAAGATTCTTCTCATGCTCTTCCCTAATGTCATACTACACACGCACCTTTAAATATATCTCACCATCTTCTTAATTATGCTTTTTAATTTTTCGGTTCCGTTGAGAAGAGATTAAAAGATATGTCTTTGAATATATCCGAAATTTATGAGTCATGCCAGGGACAAAGCAGAGGCTTAAGGAACAAAAAGAACAGCTAATGGGGAAATATGGTATATGAGGTGCTGGCTCCCCTGGCGGACTTTGGCTACCATTGCGTCCGATCCGAGGCGGCCAAATGTGCAGCTGCTGTCGCTGCAGGAGTCGGCGAAGGACAATGGGAGCTGTGGAGCTGTCATCTACAATGAAGATGAGCAGCAGACTGGCTTGAATGAGCTTGGTATGGAAAGTAGTATATGGAAAGTGGGTGGGCATGGGTGTGAGGATGGGGATTGTCTGGCCGCCCTGTGATATTTGCAGCCTGCATGGCCAGTCGGGCAAACAATAAGGGCTAACATTTATACAAGCCACCCACACTCGCACATGCATGTGCCTGGGTGTGGGCACATGCGAGAGGGGTCATACATGCAATCCAATCCTTTGGGCCAAGTTTGTTTCTGTCCTCGTCATCGTTGCAGTTCCCTTATCCCAGCATTGTCTCCATGCCGGTTTAATCTGTGTCAAAAGGCGTGAGTTATTACAAGCCGGCCACGCCCACTTAGCTGCAGACTGAATTGCGGGTAGAAAATGGGGCTGAAATCCAGGGCGAAGTCAAAGGTTTATCTCTTGTCAACGGCTTTGTGTTCACGGCCTAATCAACTCATTTTGATCGGATTCCCCTTCGCAGCTTAACTAACCACAGACGCAATCCGTCTCGTTTAATTCAATTTAGCACGGATTATTAAATAAGACGCATATGCATTTGCCAAAACTTTTACTTATGGCCCATGCCAGCTAAGAAGATCTTGGTAATAATGGAACCAATTTAAATTCAAACTCAAATTCAACTGACAATACCCATTACGAGCAAACCACATACAAAAAGCCTATTCAAATGGAAATTAAAATATGATTATATGAGCATAAAAGTTACATTAACTATAATTAAACTAAAAGGTTCTGGCAAGCATTTGCAGTTCCATGTTGGAAATTCCCCTCTTTTACTTAAATGCTAATGAACTTATTCCGCATTTTGAACTCGAATGCAGAACGTTTTCGCTTCACTCGCCCACACCTTCCCATTGCAAATTGGC